TTTTAATATAAATGATTATTATCAAATTTAAGGCTATTGTTCGTCTCTCCTATTCAAAAGTCAGATGAAATAGCATGTTTTCGCTTAGATACAAGTCAAAATTCAACATTTTAGATTTTGGTAGTATAAAATAGATAGAAAAAACAATATTTTTAAGTTAAAATACAATTGTTAACAACAACCTTGTTAAGTCATTTTTTAAAGCAAAAAAATTGATAAAATTCGAAAACTTCAACACTTCTAAATTGGCATCTAAAAAACAGATTATGTGAGAACAAAATTACAAGCAATGCTTGTTAAAAAACAATTAGTCTTCTAACAAAACAGCAGCACTTATTTGAGGCTATTCACGTCAAATCTCTTTCTTATATAATTGATGTTATGAACACGACAGCTGTAAGTCAGTAAAAGTAAATTTATGTTTTACAGTCTCTTAATGTAATAGCAAAGCGGTTTAGATTAAAGTGGATATTAGAAAATTTAATGTTAATTTTTAAAAGCTATAAAAATTTTTTGCTGGCTTGAATAAAATTGAAAAAAGCACAGAGTTAGAAGGTAAGAACTAAAAAAAGGAATAAGATAGGTTAAGAATTAAGAAATGAGAGGAATATTTTAACAGAAAAAGTTAGTATAATTTTTACTTCAAAATGAAGTAATATAGTGGAAAAACCAGAAAAAAATTTCTTGTTAAAGTAACTTTCAACTTTGTCTTTTTCAAAATGTTTCTTTAGTGAAGAAAAAAATCAACGAACAACACATTGGTTGAATGCATTTATAAATATTTCTTAAAACATTGTCAATGGTTACTGTTAGAAAACAAAAGCATTTTTTACTGTTATATTTTCGATTATTATTATTGTACAAATTGCAAAGCATATTTTGTTTTATAGATTCTATTTTTACATCTACTACAGTCAAAGATAACCTAACAATAGTGCACAGCTTATTACAAATTTAATAAATAGTTTAAAGAAAAGCTGCTAATAATGTATAAATCTTTCTGAGGTTTCTTGAATAAATTTTGGCTCTTCTTGTGACTTTTTGATTGTTCAAAAATAACTACTAAAAATAAACGTATTTTCTAAATTTAAGCAAACAATTATGTGCAAAAGTTAATTGTAAGCAAAAGGCAAAAAAATTGGCTCTGCGATAGAGGTTATAACGTTTTTGGAACCCATACATAACAGTGATCATTTGATTGTTTTGGACAGTTGAATGCATTACGAAAAGCTGGGAAATTCTGTACTGTTCCCAGAACTCGATATTTTGATGGACTGTGAGGATCGATCATAATTTGCCGATAGATCGCTGCGTTAGACGGTTCTGGTTGACACCATACTTGAGCAAAACCCAAGAAGAACAACTGATCGTGTGTAAGTTGACCCATTGCCTTGTCAGGCAGTCGAGGTTCTTCGCCCAGCAAAGCAACAAGATTTTTATAGCTGTTCCAACTAGCATGAATTCCTTCAAAAAGAAAGTAGCTAATGCATTCATTCTCAGCAAGGCGGTCGGCAATGACTAATTCATATTTAGTAATCAGATTAAATTTTCAATGCTGTTCAACACTCGACATAGAGCAGTAATTAACAACTGCCAATTTTCACCTACAGATACTTCAGCTTTTTCAAATCTATTACCTCCATTGTCAGCAATGTTCTCCCCTTGTGTATTCTCTCCATTTAAGCATTCCGGTTGCATTCCGGTACCCTTTAGAGGACAGAAGTTGTGGTATTCATTGATAATGCAATTTGCAGCTTCGTTAAACACTGTTTTTGATTGATTTTTCATCCAATCACTTAATGTGCCATCCCCACTCCACTGTACACCTTGATCGTCAAATGCATGAGATAGTTCGTGACCTGCTACAACACCCAAGCCACCATAATTCAGTGACGTTGGCCAATTTGGATCAAAGAAAGGTGGCATAAGAACACCGGCTGGGAATGTTATTGAATTTAGCTCAGGCTTAAAATAAAGTTATTTACATTACTTTAAAAAAAAAATTTAAGAATTTGTTCAAAAAAGTAAATTTTGCAACTTATTTTAACCAACAAAATTACTTGCATTATTCAAAAAAATATTAACAGAAACAAACTTTCATCAAGAAAGATTACTTTTTAGTAAAAATGATTACAACGATTTGAAATTTTTTTCAAATATTACCGAATACCACGCATTTGCTGTAGCTGGAGCACCGAGAAAATCATGCCGATCCACCGGATCTTTCATTCCTTGGATATTTTTCTTATAGTTGAATTGAAGAAGATCTAGCTTTATTTGAAAATAGGTTGAGCTACTATCTACATTCATTCCATCGTAGTACTTGTCTAATTCTTTCAAGTCAAAGATAAATGGTGGAAAAGCAACATTTTGGTATAAACCGGTAATTTTATTAGCAGCTCCTGCTATTGAAGCAGTATCATTTCCAAGTGTTTGCCTCATCATTCCATCAAATGCGCTGAGAATGTTTGAGATCATGCCAGAAATGCTTCTAAAACTTTTAACTTTTTCAACGCAAAAAAATCTGTACAATAAAATGCAACAAATTTTATTCGAAAAAAAAGATAATAATTTTTTTAGGAATTATTTTAACTTTATAAGAATAAAAAATATTTTTTATTTTTTATTGAAATGTATTGACGTAAAAATATATAAACGAAACAGACTTATTTAGTGCTGATCGAGCAGCTTCGTCTGGATATGTGTAATCTGCATAAAATCGTGCATTGGCATACTGCATAAGATTTTGAGTTTCATGAGCACATTGTTCCTGAACTTGGAGAGTAACCTGTTGACTTACATCTCGTGGCAACGGTAATCTACGATTTTTGGATCGGCCAAAGCGAGGCAGCTCTACGTCGGTGTGAGAAACAGTTTGGGAAACAGATGATGCTACCGGTAGAAAATCTTGATATTCAGCCAAAAGACGATAAAATAAATAGTTGATGACGACTTCAGGTTTAAACGTGGTATCAAAATTCTTGCTTAATTTTTTAATCATCTCTAATTCCGTAATTCTTGCAAATTCTCGTTTTTCATTAAAAAGCGAGCTCAAGCTTGCGTCATTCAACGAAAGTCCTTCGAAGTAGTTGTCAAAGTTGATAAATGCAATACTGCCACTGTTATCCTTAAATCCGTTAACATACTGTCGCTCATATTGTCGGCGTATTGTTTCGCTCGTACTATAGTTGCGAGCGAGGCTGTATTCAAAGTCGAGCAACTTTTCAACACAGTCTTGTAGCTGTTTCTCGTCTACCGAAACCTGCAAAAATGCTAGCACAGTTTATTTAACTAAAATTTGAAAAAAAATTTCCTGAATTGGGTAGTTTTTTCTTCAACTATTTTCTTCAATTTAATTCGCCTTCAATGAGTAAACAATTTTTTGTGAGCAATAAATTATGTTACAATAAAAAAATAATTTTTTTACTACGTATTGCAGCGCTGTTGACAAAAGCAATAAGTATTTTATCATAAAAGACTGTTTTTTGTTACCTTTCGAAGAGCAGCATAATTCTTGAGTAACGTTAACGTGTTACTTCTGTAGGGTTCTCGTACAGTCGATTCCCAAGCACTTGGCTCATAATAGGATTTGTCATAATACAGAACATTTTGGTCAATGTAAAATATTTGATTTGTTGGTTTTTTCCAGTCTGTATCGACCATCAATGATATAAGGGTGTCGACACCTCGTGCAGTAAGATAACCTACTGCTTTACCGAGAACGTCTGGTTTCAAATTCTGCTGTAAACCACTCTTAAAAATTGGAAATTCGAGATTTGTAAACTTGGAAAATTCATCCATCAAAGTTTTAATAGCTGCACCGTCTTGTTTAGCTGCAGTATAATTTGAACGAGCTTCTAAGCATTTTTTGTAAAATGCTATTGTGGCTTTCAAGGCTTTGCTCTGCAAAATAGTATTTGTTTAGAGCGTTGAAATTTAAGATGATAAAATAGCTTTTACTTTGACGTTTTCTGCTACTTTTTTTTTCAAAAATTTCTATGTGTATTTGCAAATCAAATAAGTGGTAAATCTTCAACAGTTTTAAGTCAAGCTTTAAAAGTCTATTTTTTGTCTACTCGCCTACTATTAGTGATACTCACTTGTGAATTATCGTACTCTGGTTTTTCCATCTGTTCGGCCGTATGCCGATAATTGTTGTTACGTAAAATTGTAAAACTGAGACTTTTTTTATAGTTGCCACATGCGTATTGATAAAAGTCAGTACATGGATCTGCACTAAAATTCATTGAATACTTAAGCATAGATGCTGCTTCCAGGTATGATGCATAATTAGGATCTGTACGCGGTAACAGTGGAGCTGAATTGACATTAACTTCCGAATAAGTATCAGATTGTGCCGGAATACCGTTAACTAAAACATATTTATTTTAATTAGGAATAGTAAAAAAGCAATAAATTTACTTTTTTTTTTGAAAAAATTGTCGAGAAAAAAAAAAGACTGGAAAAATTTATGAAACTTACAGCTATCAATAGGTGATACCCAAACATCGCAGTGATCTTTTGGAGCGTACTTTGAATCTGTTGGACAATTAAAAGCATTCTTAAATCCAGGGAAGTTCTTAATAGTACCAAAAACTCGGTAAAACGATGGACTATGTGGGTCAACCAGCAGTTGTGCTTCGGTTCCAAATGTAAAGCTGGGTTGATCGCACCAAACTTGCGTAAAGCCCATAAAGAACAGCTGATCTTGTGTCAACTGAGACAGAAGTGGATCATTAAAAGATGGGTCTTGTCCATTTAAGTTGATATAGCTTTTATAAGCACGATAAGCTGCTTGAATTCCTAAATATATAATTTTGTTGTAATATCTTAAGTAAAAACTAATTTTGAGCTGGCTTAAAATTGTTGCAGTAGCCTTTTTTTGCTTTACAATAAAGCTGCTTAATATATAGCACTTGAAAATTTAAAATGATTAACACATTAAAACTTTCTTTTTTGTCTTATTTTTCTGTTTTTTAATTGTTTTTTTTTTTTATAAATGGTGAAAAAGATAGAGCTCTCAAAATAATAAGTACTTATATTATAGCCAATGTTTAACTTTACTATCTTTGGTAAAAAGTAATTCATTTTAACAGTACTGTCATAATTATTATTTAAAAATTTTTTCAATTTATTCAAAGTTTTTTGCAAACTTTTTAAATGTAAAAATATATAGCAACAAATTTGTATAAAAAAATACCTCAAAAATATTGTTCAAATAAAGAAAAGAAAATTTTTTACCTCCATTATCAGCAATATTTTCGCCTTGTGTTTGAACACCGTCAACAGCTAAACCGCCTAAATTTGGTGGCACAAAAGCACTGTATTCATTAACCACACAATTCGCCATTTTCTAAAAAATGCAAAATTCTTAATATGTTTCTTATTATTTCTTTAATATTTGAAAAAAAAAAGCTTTTCTCATGATATAAAAAGCATTTTTTTTTTTGCTCGTTATTAATTATTTAGAGCTAGTAACATATAACATAACTCCACTAAAGTACCAACAAACGTAATAACACTAAAAACATAATGACCTTCAAACTGTTGTCAAAAGTAACTGTCGTCACGCTAAAAGCAACTAAAAATGTTAGCATCAGTAATTGTTTTCAAAACTTACGAAAATGTTACAAAACAAAAATAAAAGTAGATCGCTTTTTGGCTCAAAAAGAAAATAAACAGCTAAAAAAACCGATTCGACAAATTACCGTGAAACTTTGAAGTGAAGTGTCACTCATCCATTGATGCAGTCTACCAGTTCCATCCCACTGCACTCCCTCGTCGTCAAAACCATGCGTTAGCTCATGTCCGGCAACTACCCCAAGTGCTCCGTAGTTTACAGATGTTGGCCAGTTTGAGTCATAAAACGGCTGATTGAGAATTGCAGCAGGAAAAGTGATTGAATTTAGTTCAGGCTGAAAAGCGTACTTTATCACTTTTCTTTTACTGTTGTTTTTTACTACCTCTCCCAAATCATTTGGCTATCAAGTGCAAAATAATAACATTAATAAAAACCGGCTGTCAAATACACCTACAGTTACCCTAAATATAACTAGTAAGTTTAGCATCTGTAATTGTTTTATTGTTTTAAAGTTAAAAAACAAACAAAAAAAAAAACAAAAGTATACCACTTTTTTAGTTAAAAAAAAGAAACAGGTAAGAAAATGATTAATACTGCTCAGTAACAGTTATAAAAAACTAAATAATTTTCCCAATATTTAAGATAAAATAACAGTTCAACATAACATACGTTTGATTAGGTTTTTTTCTAAACTTGAAATCGAAAATCTAAAAAGTTGAACTTGATAACATGAAAAAATTCCTTACCAGTGAATTATTCTATAAAAACTGCAAAAAAAAAGAGAGAAAAGCATGTATCAACCTGATACCACGCATTCACCAATCCTGGTGGCCCGTTAAAATCATCTCGTTTTGCCGCTGTATCGTTCAGCATGTTCATCATTCTTCCCATCTCAAATTCAAACAGCTTTCGCTCTATTTGCTGTAAGGTGTCAGCTTCGTCTATAGAAAGAGCAGAATAGTACTGGGTTAGCTGTTGGTCATCAAGAACAAAGTCTGGGTAAGCAATGTTCCTAAATTAAGACTTATATTTGTTTCTTAAACATTAGCTCGTAAAGTTTTGTCGTTGCTGTTATGCTGCTTGAGAAGATTTTAACGACGAAAAAAGGCAACATGCTGACCTAACCAAATTGTCCATTTTGTCATAAGCTCCCAATTTTGAGTTGCTGTCCATCCAGTTTAGTTGGTCGATCATACCTCTAAACGAGGTAATAATGTTGTTTGCCATACGACCAACATCGTCACGTATTTGATCCTGAACTAAGACAGTAACCAACAAATGTAACATTTTAAACTACCAAATTTTAAAAAAAATATTTAGTATACTATTCGCTGGCTTAAAGCCTAAAATTCTCTTAAAGTTTCCTAAAATTTTTTAAAAATTTTGTCAAAACAAATTGCCTTCAAGCGGCTAATTATATCTGTAATAGTACAATTGCTAAGAACTAGTGACTTTAGGTCATTGACACTTTAAATACTTCTCAATACCACCAATTTTTAGTCCAGTAACATTTGTATTTCTAAATTAATTGCATTTAAAGATCAGTTTTTTGTAGTACGTAACATTGTTGGTAAATGTGAAAAATGCGTAACACTAGTAAAATAATTTCTTTTTGTAATATTTATCCTTCATCAAATGACACGCAATGACAACCTTTTTTTCACACAGTGATTTGCTTGCAACAACGAATGGCCAATAAAACTTAGTTTTAGACTGTAACCTGCAATTACATTGATGGCAAACTCTCACCCGACTTTCTTTTGTTGGATACTGACTGTTCACAAACAGCCTTGCATTGGCATACTGGAAATTATTGACAGTTGCGTATAAGCAAGTAGTGCTGGATGCGAAATCTGTTGCATCTGATTTTGAAATACCCACTCGGTTAGTTGGTTTAGGTGGTCTTGGAGTACGCAAATAATGAACCTTTCCTCTTACTGGACGTTTTGTTCTTGATGTCACGTAAGATGACAAGAAATCCTACAGCAACACTGTATTAAACACTTATTTCATTTCAGTAATTTTAAAATTTACAGGTTAAATAAGCGTTGAGCCTTTTAAATAGAGTTTATTTTTTTTAACTGAAAAAAACGGAAATTGTTAACGTAATTGTACCGGCTGCTTTCAGATATAGTCTAGCTTTTTAAAATTTGCTTCAAAGAATGCTGAAAATAAAAGTGCATATTTTTTTTCTAATATAATCTTGCCTGTTCATCAAATCTGGTAGACGAGCGCTCTTCATACCGTTCCATAAGACGAAGATAGAGATAATTTTGAATAGTACGAGGCTTGAATACTGCCCCACTTAAAATGTTCCGTAGTTGAGACATATAATTTGGATTTGCAATAATCAGTTTAAAGTTTGAGTCACTGATCATCGATTTCACATTTTTATTTGCAAAATAGGTAATTTGTTGTAACATAATATTCCAGTCGAAGAAATCATAGGTATCCGAAGCTTCAATTTTGGTATAAACGTTAAACTGTGGTGCATATTTTCTTTTTTGTGCCTGACTTGAGGAATAGTTCAAAGCAAGTGCGTATTCCATGTTAACCAGGTCTTCTACATCTGCATTGATTGTTGCACTGCTAACAGTCGGTAAAAGAGTGCTAAACATTTGTCTGAAAGTTGAGGTTAACCTGCTTCTAAAATTTTTAAGTTTTTTATAGTAGGTACTGTCTGCGGTCAGCGTAGCTTCGTCGAAAAACAGCAAATAGCCGCTGCTTGGATGCTCCCAGTTGGTATCAACAAATGGCGAAACAAATGTGCCGATGTTGTGCCGTCCAGCTAAATAACCGATAGCAGCTGCTAGCACAGTTTTACTTGGCATATCACTTCCAGCAGTACCATCCATTATTGGAAAAGTCATATTAGTCTCTTTTTTGAATTCTGTAATCCATTGAAGAAGATAAGCGTTGTTATCGGAGACAGGTTGTGTGGAAATGCATTTGTCGAAATAGTTGAACAATTGTTTCATTGGTTTCGTAGTCTGGAAAACAAAGAATAACTTTGACACTTTCTTCAGAAAAAAGCTTTTATTTTTCAATCGAAAAAAAATTTCAGTATAGCAAAGGAATTTGTCAAAAGTTATGCTGCTGCAAAATAAAATAATTTTAATAACAAAAAATAAACCTTTTTTTGAAATTAAAGTAACTTAAGTGTCTGTAATGCTTAATTTAAACTGACTTTCTACTGCACCAGTTTTGAAAAATAAATATTACAGTTATTCTAATACCTGTATTAAAAATATAAATTTTAGAGGAATCTTATTTTTGGGTATAAAAAACTGTTAAGACTTATGTATTTATATGCAACAACAATCATTTAATTCTCTCAAAAGATTGCTAAACTAGAAATTTCTGATAAATTTGTATGTTACAGTAAAACTTTCAAGATCACTGTTATCTTTTTGTAATAGTTTTATAAAACCATTGTTTAACAAGCATTTATTTTAGTAATATAAACTCATCTTTAATCTATCTGATAAAAAAGTTACCCTTTATTTTTTTTTCATTGTTGATTTTAAAAGGCAAATTTTGTTTTTCTCTCTAGTACTGTTAAAAAATTTTTTAAAAGCAAATGTTGTAAAGGTGTTACAAAACAGAGTAGTAGAAGAGATCATAAAAACTCAGGTTTCTGTTTTGTAATAAAACTTGTAGCAGAGGTTATCTGTGATCAGTTTTAGTCAACGGTTATCTTACAGATACAAGCTATAGATTTTACAAATAAATTTAATTTTTTTGAAAAATTTTTTTCTCTCAATAATAGGTGTAATCTAATTGACAACATTTATTCGTTTGCAGCAAAAAATTGTAGAAAAGTGTAGAAACTGTCAAGTTTCTTTAAAATTTTGAACTGCTTATGATCATATTTTTTTAAGGCAAACAAAAAAGTTTGTCATCAACCGTGTTGCATTTGCGGTGATAGGAGAGAAAACGAGCTTTAATTGTTGTAATATTTATATCGTTTTGCCCAAAAGCTGTTCAAATTGAACTTCTGTAGTAAATGTTTGTCAAATTTTTTGCTCTTTCAGTATTGTCTATTATTTGCTAAGTGCCAACAGTGTCTTTAAAAAGGTACGAAAAGAAGAAGTTGAAGAAAGACAGTGGTATGACTTCCAAACTAATAGTGTATTCTTGGATCTTAATTTTTACAACTGTCGCTACGCTCTAAGATCTCTCTAA